TTCTAATTGTAAATAAGAAGGCAATAGTTCTATTTACGGTACCCAATGTTGTAATTTACATCAGAGAGAGTAAAGCCGGAGTACGACTTAAGCAACCTTGTCAAAGTGGATATATTTTAAAGTAACCGATAACCTCTATGGAGGCCTCTAATCATTTGCTTTACCGGATGAGACTGGCTCTTCAAGTGCCAGCTATCCTGAGGCAAACTTCAGAGAGAACCAGCTACTATGATGGTTCAATTAGTCTTTAGCCCTATGACCAGTTCCGATCGATTAGCACGTTAGAATTGCTACGGTCCTCCATCAGGGTTTTCCTTGACTTCGACCTGACCAGGCATCGTTAACCTAATAATTTTTTCTACTGTTTATTTTATATTTTTTTAAATATTTAATATTGAATTAAATTCGTTTCTAGTGCAATATGTTTGTTATATATGATTATGTTAACAAAGAAGTAGAATGTAATGAAAGCATTTTTCAATTTTGCAAAATAAACCTATATTTTTTATCGGATATTTTACCAGCGCGACTTGCACTGTTATTGACGAATATACTCCTCATGAGATCGATTCGAACGACTGTGCACACTGCAAGACGTGAGCTACACAGTTAATTTGTCAAATATTTGGAATTTGAAAAATGTTAGAAATAATAAATATATAATTTGAGCTGCCAATTTAACCTAGCCAGCCTCATGGGGAAAAATCGATTATTAATAGTTTTGTTTTTGAATAGTAGAAGTGTTTTAGTTACTAAGTTGAAAATTTAGGAATTAGATGATACCCTTTAGATAATACTTATTGTTTTAAATAATATATATATATATATATATATATATATATGTTTATATATATATATAAATAAATAAATAAAATTTTGATAAATTTCTAGAACAATTGGGCACCCCTAGTCAGGCCTTCATGCAGCGCCTGCAGCCGACGGTTCGCAATTACGTTGAAAACAGGCCGCGTTACCAGGGCTACTCATTCGACAGATTGTTCCCGGACGCCTTGTTCCCATCCGACAGTAATGAGCATAATCGACTGAAAGCTAGTCAGGCACGCGACCTGCTCAGCCGCATGCTGGTTGTCGACCCAGAACGACGGATATCAGTCGATGACGCGCTTTTACACCCGTACATAAATGTGTGGTATGATGAAGGAGAAGTCAACGCTGTAAGTTATATTATTGTATATTATTCAATTAGTTTGTACTAGAGTTGGGCTTATCATATTCTAAGCCGGATCAGTTAGAATACAACTTCGCTTCTGAGAGGAGTTACAACCGCAACTCCGTCCACCCTGGAACCTAATACCCAATACAAATGTAAATGTGTTCAATAGCTTGTTGTCATGTGACTAAGAATGAACACTAGAACTATAAACAGTTCAAACACATTTGTTCATATTATTACAAAAAATTACTATTTAAGCATTTCAATATGCATACAAATCATATTCCATGCCGAAAGATAGGCAATGAAAATACTGAAATATCAAAATATTAAACCACGAAAGGAAAACTAATATTTATTAATAAAATATTTAAAATTACATCATTTTTTTCAATTATATTTAACTTTCCATAGGGTAAGTTATAGTAATGGCAAAAAAAATAAAAAATAATTTTTGCATATCTTTACGTTTACGAGGGTTCTGAACATTCCGGCATACCTTAGAATAAATGCATGTATGTGTGTGTGTGTGTGTGTGTGTATGTATGTTTGGATACAATTTTTTGTTCACGATTTCGGGTGCACGAATTAACCGATTTGAATGATTCAAAAAACATTTTGTTTATATTGACGAAATGAAGAATTGATTAAATTTTTGGAAAGACAGGCCTAGCGGTTTTGGAGATATAGAGGAAAAAGTGAAAAAAAATGATGTTTAGCGGTCGAAAATGATCATTAGACATATTATGTTCATCAAATTATCAGATATTTAATAATTTTTAAAAAATGAGTACTAATTTTGTTAAAAAAATTTTAGTTCTGTATCAAGATTTTTAATTTTCAAGTTCACTTCTACATTTCAAAAAAATATCAAAATTATCAGCAAAAAAAGTTTTTTAAAGTTAAAAATATATACAAAGTTTTATACTTTAATTACAAATTTTACATTTATAATTTATTTTAAAATGTATAAATTTTATATACGTTATTCTAATCATAAGCAGTATATTCTCTGATAGATCTCCTATTCGGCATGTTCATGTTTTATGTGAGAAGAACGTTGCTATATAATGTATGAGTGATAAAAGATCAAATATTTATAATTATCTATTGAAAATATTTAAAACAAGTGTTATTAATGATTGATCAATATTTATTGCTACTGTTTTTTTACCTGGAATGTTTAATTATGGTACGGAAAGTTCCAGCAATTTGCCTTAAAGCACGATGCCATGCACCACTAGTTATTTATAACAATCAGAATGAAATGAATTAAAGAGCTAATATACAACAACAAAGCTATAATTGAAATAATAATAGGTAGAGTAGGGCACAAAAGCCCAACTTGACTTTCAGTAATTATAGTGTCTACTCCAAACCAAATGAACTACATCACAACATATAACATGTATCAAACAATGTTCAGTAAAATTAAGTTAATTCCAAATTATAGAAATATGTTTTTTATTAGTTTTCTAAAATTTCTTATCTGTCAGTTTTTAGCCAATAGAGGGGTGTGTAAAAGGAACAGCCAGGGGCAAATAGATACAATATCTTGTTTTTAAATTTAAAGGGATTTTATGGAATAATCGCTACATTACTTAACCAATGCTAAGGACAAATTTTATAGGCACACATGTTTACAACCTTAATCTGGTATTTTGTCTAAAATATTCATCAACAGAGTTGGAATAACTATTAATTTAATTTATTTTTTGTAAAATTGCGTTTTTTATTTAACTTAATTTATATTTCATTTACTATTTGCTAGTGTAAAGTTTTAGCTGGTTCTTTGCTTCTCACCCACATGTAACCTTTTATATATGTATGTTTTTTATATTATATGTTGAATCTAACTTAAGAATAACAATATATCTTCTAAAACGTGAAACGTAGGTGTACATATAACTGAGGTAGTCAACTGTAGTTTGTACTACATCTAACATTTAATCCTTTGCTCGTTAAAACAAACCAACAATTTTCAATATTGTTCGACTTGTTGTTTAATACATTGCCTGATTGCAGCCTGCTCCTGGTCCGTACGACCACAGCGTGGATGAGCGCGAACATACTGTGGAGCAGTGGAAAGAATTGATTTACCAGGAAGTAATGGATTACGAGGGACGCGGAAGCAATAATGAGGTAGCAGCGGAGGCGGCCGCCCAGCGGTAGACGTGCGGTAATTTTGCTATAGAAAATTAATAATTTGATTCAATCACTAGTTCATTTGGACAAGTATAACATTCTGAATTATCATTCTTTGGGAAAATAGACTTAGTTCAATTGTGTCTTTTGCTTGTTTTGTTTGAAAATAATCTTATTAATATTGCACTTGATTACAACTTGGTTGTTAAATGGCTCTCAAGCTATAAATTTATAATGAAATATTGTTGTTTATTTTAATTACCATTTGTTTGGATAAAAAAGATTGTTATTGGTAAACCACTTTTGAATAATAAGAACATTTTCTCCTATTTTTTTCTAGTTTCTAGTATATTTTTATCAGAATTGTGTGAGTTTTATTAAATTATTTGTTGGCGTATGATAAAATGTGCAATATGATTTAAATTCAATCAGTGAAAAATGTTAAAAAGAGTGTGAACAATTGTAAAACTTTTTGAAATATGTGTGTGAATTTTTTGTGCAAATTGCTAAATTGAACAATACATTTGGAAGTGGGCTATGAAAAGTATAACTTTAAGATTTATGTATCATGTTTGTATTTCAGTTTTAATATTAAGATGCCATTTATTAACTGTTTCAAAAAACGAAAATTAGTGATATTTAAATAGGTAATAGATAGCATATTTATAAACTTTTTATTTATTTAATGTAGTTAATAATAATATATATTAACTATACATCATTAAAACAAAATGTAATATTTGTAAGTAACATCTTTCGTATTTTGTTAATAAAAATTTAATCTTGATCTATGAATAACTAATAACTAATGTATTTGAATTAACACAATTTTATTTTAATATTTTTTGGTGACCTTCTAAAATTAAGATACTATTCAAAATAAATTAATAATATTTAAATTGATTACTCTTTCTTTAAATTATTTTTTATAAGGAGTTTTTAATTTTTTGCGAGTATAGCACCTTGGCTATTTATATAATGTATGAGTCTGTAATATTTAAAACAAACTGTCGTGTTTGATGTTTTTGTAGAATCTTTCATCATTTATTTTAGTAATATACTTAAGGATAATCATGAGATAGTTGTAATTAATAAAGCATACTGTCAGATATTAATTGACAATAGTTAACATACTATTCATCATAGAATATTTAATGATAAATAAATTGTAGTATAAAATATTTATACTCTTCAGTTTTTTTCAAAATAGCAGCATTTGCTATATTTGAAAGATTTTCAATGATTTGATTAATAATCTTATGTCAGCCTCAAATGGTACAATACTTTATTGTGACTGGAAATACTGAACAATATTTGCTACTGAAAGAGGTTTACTTCCCGTCACTGCTTATGGTTACATAAATGCTTGGAACTAACTTGTTGCAAAATTATCTTGTAAAGCATTATATTATTTTCTGAACTGCATGAATTATAAATTAAATATTTACTCAAATCTTGGTAAATAATTTTTCGAATAAATTTATAATGTTTTTTATGTGTTAAGTAATAACATTAAATAATATTTATTTTGTTATAACTTTTGTTTAATATTTTCTCATCAATGTTCAGAAAATTATGTAATGCAATTTTTTAAGAAAAGATGCTGTTATATAAAAACTAGAATGTATGTATAAATTTTATAACAAGTTTCTGGCAGTTGAAGTATTTTATTTTCAATAATATTGTTCAGCTCTATTATTTATATGATAAACTGTATATATCACAAATCTATAATGCGTGATGTAATATGTGATGTATATATTTGAAAACAAGATCAATGATATAGTTTTGGTTTTAGATTAAGTTTAATTGAATGCATTTGTGCAAAAAAAAAATTAAGTTTTTCTGCATATTGGTAGGACTAATTTGTTTAAACATGACATGCTTATTAACACTCTATTTTGAAATGATTAATGAATACACTAATATTTATATGCTGATAAAAAAACATATTTTTATTAATTTTAACATTGGTAAATTTAACAGACCTGCGAGTCAATTTTTTTCAAAATAATTTGTTCATACTGATTAGATGGGTATTGTGAAAAAATGCAGAGAGATTTGTTTTATATAATCTATTTGAATCTATGATATAAATGTTGCAATCCATATGATCTCCTATTATAAACTACATATAATGAACGTCCATCCTATAAAGGCTTTATGATAATCTAAATAATAATTACAATGTGCATTAATTGTAAACACATACATTCTATTAACATTTTGTATGACAGTAAAATCCGTGGTGCAATTGAAAAAGAAATTCTAAATATATTTTCTTGAATCCTTTTAGAAAAATGGTTCGATTTTTCTTTGAATGCACACATGAACAGACAAATGAACTGTTTTGTTCTTAATAAAATTTTCCCTTTTATTCAAAATGTAAGTATGCATCCTACCTTTTATTTGTAAGGCTAAGTAATATATGCAAATACATATGAAAGTATATTGAATATAGAATCTAGGTAATTAATATTTGTAACTTGTTTTATGATGTTCATACAGCAGAGTAAAAATAAATAATGTATGTGAATAAACTGATGTGAATAATTTAAAAGAATGTGTATTTGATATTTCAACTGTAAACTACCTGAAACTTTCATAATGCAATGTGTAGCTTAGAGTAGATTAATATACAAAATTTAGTTGTAAAAGTAGTAGCAAGCAAAGTTATAGATCAAGAATCTACAACAGAAATCAAGATCTACAACTGAGTAAACCTGCTTAAAACTTTTTTTCTGCTGCCTAAATATATTACTAACAATTACTTCAAACATAAGAAATAGAGCTTTGATAAGCTCAGAAACTTGAGAAACAATTTGCTAACTATTGATAGTGATAAAACTGGTAATTAGAGCTTCATGTAATATATCTCAATTTGAACAACTATCATTTTGCATGAATAAGAACAAAATATAGTGATAAAATTAATTTGAGGGAGTTGTAGGGTCTAATTATACTATCTAAATCAAATAAGTAATTGCAAAAGGTATTTCATGAAGTTCATGAAGTACTATAGTTATCTGCTCTAAGTTTCATGAGCCCTGAAAAATGTTTGAAATGAAATAGGCAGAAATAAATAAGAAAAGGCAATAAGTTAGAAATGAAGGTCTGTGTTAATTATAACTTCAAGAATATAATTGTTTCAAATAATAAGTCGTTCTGTGCAAAACTTATATATTTTGCAAAATATTTCATGAAAATAATAACAAACATGCAAGTAGTTTAAATTCCATTTATTTTTAGATTCTAAACGATCAAATTGATATTTTAGCACTCAACTTGCTTTTAGAAAATAAAATCCTTGTGCTACTTTTGTTCTTTCGAGCCTTTTGAACTTTATCTTTTTTCATTTCATATCATCTTTTTTTATAATACATAATGAAGATTGCAGTATAAAAATGTCGCATTAAACATTTAAAGTCAACCTTCTAATTTCATCACTCAATTAAATTTTTTTTATTATAAATCTTCACAAATATTGATATTCCTGTAACTTTTCAAGTCATGACGATAAAACATTGGAAAATGTGCAGATTGCAAATTGTTATTTAGATTTAGTATCTATGGGATCTAATTTTAGCACTAAAAATCACTTCGGTCATGTATTGAATATTGTTGATAGAAATTTAGTAAGGCATTTTGGTTCTGGTTCTGTAATGAAGATTTCCAGCATCCAGTAAGCAATGCAAATTTCGGTTTATAACGTGATTATTTCATCAATATCTTGGGAAAAAACAGAATTGAGTTGTGGCTTTTTTAAATGGCTTTCACATCGAACATTTTCATGTTCAAACATAATTAATACGCAGTCGCAGTAGGTTAACAACGTTAACAATAAATTTATCGAAATAACGCGTTGTTTTTTATTTTTTTCGTCTTGTAAGTCATTCAAGTCTAACATATCGGTTTCGTACTATTTCAGAATAACAATCGCATTAATATTTTTAATAATATGTATTAACAAGTGCCAAGAATATACGTCATTAGGTGCTTTTAGAACATTTGGAAAAAAGATGAAAATGTAGAGAAACAGGTTTTTCTGTTTTTGGATTACTCAGGAATCTGTGCATATATTAGAGAATAAAACAATGAGTAATTTTTTATGATTTTTTAAATAACGATGACAATGAGTTAGATTTTTCACAGTTTGCTGAAGTTGAGAAAAAATAAAGAATATTTTATAGTAAGTATATTACAATCAAGTATTATTTAGAAGTTTTAGTATAATACAATATTTTTAAAGTGTAATTTAATAAATTTTATTTATAATCATTTTATAATTTATTTATGTAATCTCACTTTGACAGAAAAGGGGATGCCATTGTGTGAAAATACACAATTTCTGGAACACTTCAGCAGAACAACATGCTATAATTATGATATATTAATATATCACAAATATACCAAGGGAGTGAATTTTCTAATAGAAATAAATATGTACTATTAAGGAAAATATGTGCATTTCATCAGGTAAAAAAATGAGTTTTATTATCCCACCGATACAAACAATAATTAATTATAATTTAAATTGTAATATTTCTATAGTTTGCGGGGCACCATACAGCCAGCTACAGGGATGTTAGTGATCGCTTTTATATAACTTTAAGTACTTTGCAAGAAAAACAGCGAAGAGTTACTTTAACTAATAATCAAGAAAAATTATGATAGAAAGCACAGCATTAATCGTATTAAAACTGTGTATACATTTGGTATACCAAAACAGAAATTCAGACAGCTGTATTATCTAAAACTAAGAGATATTAATCTGATTTATATATACACAGTATCATGAGCAAAATCATCAAAATGGGTAGAGGATATGGAATAGAGATCAACATCAACAAACCGAAAGTGATGAGAAATATGTGTTTGGGAACTGGATTGCAACCAGTACTGGAGAAGCATCCTGAATAGAGAAGGATACTGCACGACAGAGATTTAGGGCAAGAATCACGAAAAAGAGAAAGTTACTGACGAGCAAGCTGAGCCTAAACTTGTGCAAGAAGCTAATAAAATGCCTTAATTGATAAGCTTATGCCTGGAGCATAGCTTATTAGAGATTAGAGACATGGACTCTAATTAAATCTGAAAAATATTATCTGGAGAGCCTTGAAATGTGGTGCTGGTGGCGAATGGAGAAGATAAAGTAGGCAGATAAGATATCAAGTGAAGTAGTGCTGAGAAGAGTGAGAAATTTACTGAGAATGTTCAATAAAAGGAAAGACTGGATTGGACACATTCTGCATATAGAGTGTCTTTTACACTACGTCATCAATTGTAAAATAGAAGGAATATAATGATTAGGAAGAAGGAAAATGCAGATGATTGATGTTTGATGTGAGAACAGAAAATGCCAGGAAATGAAAGCCGAAGAACAGGGCCAAGAAGCATGGAAGTAGAAGTGAAGTGAATAATTGATTTATGATGCTCCCACACACTTTTGGGCAGACTTCCATTTTATATATATATATATATATATATATATATATATATATATATTTAATATGTGAGATGCTATAAAGTGAGCGAGTTGTTTAGCATTTGGTAATAGAACAGCAATTAAAGTAATGATTCTAGGCATTAAATAGGAAATTGTGCAAAATGTTTTTATTGTATTAAGTTCTTTATGGAATGAAAAGCTTTACTTAATGTTCAATGAGCAGTGCTTCTATTTCAAAACCCTTTAGCCGAATGACTCACTGGACAGTGATTGTGGTTTGACATTACTTTTAGAATAATGTTATGTATTCATAAAATATGCAATTTAAATGAATTAATAAATAAAATTCAGGTATTTATGATGCTGTATATTTATTTATACAACATGTAATGTATATGTATTTAATTTAGAACCTCATATTTCTTTCTCAACCTTTCTCCCTCCCTCTGAATTTCCATAACAGCTCTTTGGAATTTCAATGTGTCTTTCTTAATTCCCTTAAGAATCTTCCTTATTTGACGACGCATCTTTCTTTTTGTAGCTTGAGCTTCCATGCTATTATCTTCAACCGTATTTGTTCCTACAGCAGTCTCATTTTGTACTGCGGTCTCAGTACTCGGCCGCAAAATTTCGTTTTGTTCTATAAGATTATATATTTAGCAAAATGCGAAATTAATAAACATTAACAATATACTAATTACCTTCATCCATTATGTTCCAGTTATTCTCTATAATTCAGTATAAAAATCGCTAAAACTCAATTCAACTCCTTTCGATTGTTTCAATACGAAACAGAATGAAACGTACTGCATGCTGTTGGTAACAACAATTTTTGTGAACTGTCACTGTCACCAACATAATAAATGAATAGCACAATTTTCAAATTCCATTTGAAAGTTACAATAAATATTAGCTAGTGGGGCGCATGGCATCGTGCCTTTAAGCAAATTGCTGGAACTTCCCGTATCAAAAATTATTATTTTTTTAAAACGAATAACATTTTTGAAAAAAAAATTAGATTTCAGAGAAATTTTTTTCTTTATTTTGACATATTTTGGAAGATCTGAACTTTTTTTTCAAAGCAATCGTACTGCTTTAACTGCATGGAGACAATGTCTAATGATCATTTTTGACCGCTAAATGGCATTTTTTTTACTTTTTTTGTTAGATCTCCGAAACCGCTAGACCTGCCCTTATGAAAATGATCAATTATTCATCATGTTAATACAAGTAAAATGTTTTTTGAAGTATTAAAATCGGACGCTCCGTTCTCTTAATAACTGAGTTACCGTTTTCGGCACTTTTTGCCTCATTTTTTCTAAGGTATGCCAAAATGTTCAGAAACCTTTGTAACGCAAAGATATATAAAAATTTTCATTTTCGATTTTTTCTCGATTACTATAACTTGCCCTACGGAAAGTTAATAAATGATTGATTCGTAAATCATGATATTCGTAAGTTATATAATATGAATCATTATATTCTTATTAATTAATTCGTATAAATAATTATTCTTTGTAGCTAATATTTTATAAAAGATGTTTTTATTTTTTAAATAAACACATATTAGGTTGTCAAATATCTCCCTTTCGCTTTTTTGCTCTTGGTTTATAATACAAAAAGGCGGAAGGGAGATATTTGACAACCTTATATGTTGATAAAACTATGATAAACTTTTTACACAGGCATCCATCCAGATAACAAATATAAAAAAAACTAAATTTTTTTTTTAAAAGTGAATTTAATGGTTCATACGTTTCGAGTCCCAATTTGACTCTTCTTCAGTGGAACACAAGTAAATATGCACTAAACACTAAACGAAAACGTTATAAATAATAATTGTTACTTAAGACATGTTAATGAAAAAAATAATAAAAATAAACATGAATTGTATTTATAAAATTAATTAAAAAGAAAAATAATAAATTTGGACTTCATACATAGTGTGTAATATATATGTGTTGTCCGTAAACTGGTTGAAGACATAATGGAGAAAAGATTTTTTTTAAATATTTCTACCAAGATTCTACACATTGAACTAATTGCGAATCTTTTGCGCGACCTTATTTTTATTGCTCTGTGAGAAATTTGGAAATGCTATCTAAATAAAAGAGATTTGTGTCGCACAGCGTGTTAAGTTCAATCTGTTTATTTATTGTGTTATTGTTATAAATAGTCAAAAAAGATCCTTTTATAATTCTTTTTTTAAATAAATTTTGTTCGAATTGAAGTACAGTCGGGTTACAAAAGTCTATATTGTGTTTTAAAGTATTAATGTGGTCCGCAAGCATAGTTTTAAATTGTCTGGGATTTTTTGAATTATTTTTGTGTTGTTGTTTAAATATTTAATCAAGTTCTGGCTCGTTTCTCCTATGTGAATTAAATTACAGTCCAGACAATTGATTTGATAGACGAGATTTCTAAGCCGTTCGATGTTACAAGAGGTTTTGGTTTTGGTAAAAATAGTGCTAGTCATTGTACTTAAGTAGTTTACAAGTAGGAGTCCAGATTTATAAAAAAGTTTTTTTTTTTCAAGAAACATACAGTTCTTTAATGTATGGCAGACATATTACACCAGAGTGAGTCCGAGTCTCTGAGTCAGGTAAATCGTTATCTACTGTGGAATTGTCAATTTTATTCAAAACCCCTTATTTATCTAGGAAGTTTATTTATTTATGACTGGATCATTGCTTTATTTGCACTTCAGTTTTTCAAACGGTTTGGAATAAATACAGGATTTTTAAATTTAAATCCGTCTGAGTGGTGTCAAAATGAAGATCATCAGAAGGGTTTACTATTGGTAAGAAGTTTGTAAGCTAATAATAGAATAATTAAACTTTAAGAACGAATAACCCTTAAGCCAATTGATTCAACGAAAAATTATACGAAACCTTTTTTATGGAGAGTCGAATTTTCAATCTAAAATTCATATGTTTCGACAATAGTCCTAGGTTTCACTCAGTGGAAAAAAGTCGTTTTTAAATTCAATTTTAGTACATATTATTAACTTTTAAAAAATGTAATTTTTTCATCGACGATATCGAGAACACTGATCAACCGATTTGAATATTTAAAAAAAATTGATTTCTACTGATAAGCTTGGAGACAGAAAAATTGATTTCTACGCTTCGGAGATACGGCGCAAAAAGTGCCAAAAATGATAATTTAGTTTTTGAGAGAACGGAGCGTCCGGTTTCAATAATTCAAAAAACATTTTATTTTTATTTTTACAAAATGAAGAACTGATGTTTAGAAAGGCTGGTCTAGCGGTTTAGGAGATCCAGTGAAAAAAGTGACAATTTTTTTTTTGAAAAAGTTCAAATTATGCACAAAACTATGTGGTGCGTGTGGCGTCGTGCTTTAAGGCAAACCGCCGGAACTTCCTGTACCATTATTTTAAAAACTTTGAAAACATTAGATTTTTGAGAAATATAAAATTTTCGAAAAAAAATGACTTTTTGGAAATAAATGTTTTTTTATTTTGAAATATTTTGGAAATTTTGAACTTGTTTTCAAAGCAATCGCACAGCTTTAGCTGCATAGGGAAGCAATATGCAGCTCTAACTAATTATTAAAATCTCCATAAAATATCTGATGATTTGATGTGCATATGTGTAATGATCATTTTTGACCGCCAAATGGTTTATTTTTTTATTTTTACTACTTGATCTCCGAAACCGCTAGAGCTGCCTCCTCAAAAATTTAATCAGTTCTTCATCTTGTCAATACAAGTAAAATGTTTTTTGTAATATTAGAATCGGATGCCACGTTCTCTCAAAAACTGTTACCGCTTTTGGCACTTTTTGCCCCGCATCTTTGAAACGACTGGACTTGCCTTGTCCGAAAACAAATCAGCACGTCTCCTTATCAATAGGATTCGAAAGTTTTTCGAATAATTGAAATCGGTTCAACCGTGTTCCTGAAATCGTCGACGAAAATTTGTATCCGCACACACACACATACATCAATTTTTTCTAAGGTATGCCAAAATGTTCAGAAACCTCTAAAACGTAAAGTTATATAAAAAAAATAATTTTCGTTTTTTTGCGATTACTCTATAACTTGCCCTACGGAAAGTTTAAAATTAAAAAGAAGATGTAATTTTTTTAAATTTTAAAATTCTCAAAAATCTAATTTTCCCAGTTTTCAAAAAAAATAAAGTTTTGTTATAAATTGTTGGTACGAGAAGTATGAGCAATTTGCCTTAAGGACATAATGCCATTTGATGACTTTAAATAATTTTGCTCTTTCCCGCCACTTAAAATAATAAATCTGACGTTTCACGGTACATCCTCGAACAAAAAGATTCTGCTTTGAGGCGTTTGTTTGGAATTTTTCGCGTTCGTTCGTGTTCCTGTTCGTTCTTCTTTGTATTTTCTTGTTCGACATGTTCGTTCGTGTTCGTTCGTTAGGTGTGGATGCACCTTTACACAGTACCCACAGTACAAACCGAACGGATAACTTCGTTCTGCGCATGCGCAGACGAATATCTACTGTCATTTCTTGCCTTGAATATCGATGAAACCGAACCGAAGAAGAGTTTTGGTTTAAGGTTAAGGATGCATTTGTCAGAAACATATAAAATGCAATATGAATCAAATTTAATTAAATATGTTATAGTGTTTTAATCATGGACACATAAAAATAACGTTTCATATGTTGTCTACCAAAATCCTCTGCTATTATATGGACGCTAATAAATTTGCACAATTCTAACCTATAAAATCCAGTGCAAAATGTTTCTGCGAAGAAAATATTTAATTTCCACAGCTTCGTCTGTTTCTGCTAGAGCGAAACATTCAAAAGATCATTGGGTACATGAATAATCACAACTGAATTATTATTATTATTATTATTTGGTTAATTATTATAAATTCTGTATGGTGTTCTCATTTTAGTCGATGAAAGATAAGAAAATTTTCCCAAAACATAGAGCTTTAGAACATTTTGATGATTTCTATAAATCAGTATTTGGCGATAAATGGCCATCGATTAGAGTAGCCTTGTTATCGCCGCAGAAGTATGTTGCTCTCGTCAATAATTTTGGTGATACAGAAAAAACATGTGAAAAACTAGAAAATTTAGGTATGAAAAATTGTTTAGTTTTTATTATTTAGTTGATGTTTGAAACTTGTGCATTGCTGTTTTATACTATTATATTTATTTGCATAGTATAGATCTGATATTTTGTATTAACTGTATTGGTTTGGTCCATTGTAGGGTGCGGTGGACAGAAGTGGGCCATGTTTTTATTTTTGGTGGTGAATGGTTAAAAACGAATATATTTCCTTGATTTTTTTTTAGTTTACAATTATGTTTGGAAGTATTTTGTTTTTTGAATGGCAAAAAAAATGTTTTTACCATGTTTCCCGAAAATGTAGGGAGAAGTGGGCCACCCAAATTTTACTTTACTGTGAAGTGACCCATATCTGTCCACAAATAATGACCCACTTCTATCTACAAATGCCTTTTTTTTTGCTTATGCATCCAACAAAAACACAATGTAAACAATCAACAAAAATCACTTTGCATTTCAAAGATTATGTCTATATAATATATTGCATATTTACTTGTATTTTGCTCATGAAATGCTTTTTAAAATTGACCTAGTATCAAAATATGATAAATATGTGTGCAGTTCGACATACATGTCATAGTCTCAAGGTTATTCAGGTGGCCCTCTCCAACCTGTGACCCATGTCTGCCCACCGCACCCTACTATAATAAGTTTAGATTAATAAATTTATTTGATTTTGCCTAGTTCCAATTCTTTATTAGTTTTTTATAATTCATTTTTGTAAACAGGAGGAATTAATTTGAGAACATTATACAATATTCAAAAAGAAAAATTTTTAATGAAAAAGCAAAAAAAGCAACGAGATAAACAGCTTGATAAAATATATAAAATGGACCAAAGTTTAGAGAATTTCTTAATGAAACAGAGACAAGATGAAGTTAGTTCAGTTTATGGAACTAACGCAAATGAAATCAGTAGTATTCCTGAATCAATAAACAATACAAAAGAACCAACTACAGACATTAGCAGTGCTTCTAATACAGAAGATTCTATTTCTACAAATGATGAAGAATCAAGCTTAAGTTTGCATGCAAAATTAAAACATGCTAAGTATGATGAGAGAAGATTAATTAATCCAGAGGTTGGATTAGCGGCACTTCATGAGTTTATACCTGCAACAAAACTGAAGGGAATAGAGGATTGGGTATTTGAGTCGGAACATTATCAATACTATCAAAGTATGTGCAATTAACTATCTATTTTAATTCTTAGAAATATGAATAACACTACGATAAAAATATTTTAGATCCAAGTGAATTTCCTATTAAAGTTGAAGCAGAGGCTCCATTTACGATACCTGAAACTTTTAATGTATACAGTTATGAACGTGGAAATATATCAGATTTTCCTTCACCAAAGAGGGGATCAACAGGTACTTTGGTTGATAAAAGCAATGGTTTTGTTCAAATTAAATCTTATCACATATATTAAATCAACAGAATTATTTCTCATACTTGTTGATTATAAAATTATAAACTAATTATAAATTTAGTCAGTTGATGAAGAAATTCTAATAATTTTTATACATTTTAGGAGTATTTTCTCATTATTTAATGAATGGCGGTAGTATATTGCCTGTTTTGGCATTAGACTTACAAGCTGGAGATCGAGTTTTAGATGCATGTGCTGCACCTGGAGGAAAGTCATTGCTAATGTTACAAACCTTATTGCCTGGACTAGTTATAAGTAATGATATTCAAGAATCTAGGATTAATCGGTAATTGTGTATGTTTTTTTTTTTTGCTCATGGTAAAATTAAATGTGTATTCTAGTTTAACCCCTTAACTTACGATTTAGATTCGAAAATGTCGGCCCAAAGTTGTTCAAGCTGGCGCAGCGTTTGTGACTATTTTCCCTCATAATGTGTGGTCTATCAAAAATAATTTTGTGGTTTATAGTTCCGTATGAATCAATATTTTGTAATACTTGCATTTTTAAAAACATGTTTTAATATCAAACGAGAAGTTGCAAGTGTATATATTATATATATATATATATATATATATATATATTTTGTAGAGTTTCGAACAAGAATCCAAAAATAATACAAAATAAAAAACAAGAAAAGTTTTTAAAAAAACAATTTCTTTATTTAATTATTTGTTTATTGTCGACGTTTCGGAACTAGGTACGTTCCATCTTCAGGACATCTGTCAAGAAACATGATCTTTATGAGATTTTAGCAAACAATATGTTTAGGAAAAGAAATAGATTTTTCTTTAAAAAAAAAAAAAAAAAAAAAAAAAAAAAAAAAAAAAAAAAAAAAAAAAAAAAAAAAGAAAGAAAAATCTATTTTTTTTCCTAAACATATTGTTTGCTAAAATCTCATCAAGATCATGTTTCTTGACAGATGTCCTGAAGATGGAACGTACCTAGTTCCGAAACGTCGACAATAAACAAATAATTAAATAAAGAAATTGTTTTTTTAAAAACTTTTCTTGTTTTTTATTTTGTATTATTTTTGGATTCTTGTTCGAAACTCTACAAAATATACACAAATCCAAGACTCTACCATTCAATATATATATATATATATATATATATATATATATATATTAGGGTGGTCCTTAAAATGATCATTTTCGAATTTTCTTGCTCCCAGGGGCTCAAATAGATCCAAATAGATAAAAAACAATTCTCTGAAAGTTTTAGCTCTTAATATTAATGTTTAGATAGAGCGCAGTTCTATCAAAGTAGAGCGCAATGCAAAACAGCGCTAACGAAGCTATCTTTGCATGGTTGCAATAAAAATAACATTAATAATAATTTCTATCTAATAATAATTTATCTTTCTAAATCAATATAAAGGTATTATTTCCTTACCATTTTTAGGCAGTTTTACTTATTTTTTAAAAAAGATATTTTCTGAAGAAGGTTTTCTTTTAGTTTGCAAATTTGAAAATACTTTAAATTCTTTGTATACTTCATTAAAATCATAAACACCACATAATAGAATTGTTGACTCCGTTTACAAGGTGAATTGTAATGATTATGAAAAATTCAGTATTGGGGAGAGTTCACAATATATATATCTAAGAGATTGCTTCAACATAAATATAATTCAAAAAATAAAAATCAATACAAAACAATGCTTTCAGACCATATGCAAAATTTTAAACACACCTTTGATTTAAACAATCCCGTTATTTTATATATTGAACAAAATGTTGACTTAAGAAGGTTTGCTGAATCTGTTTTCATTTTTTTAAATTCACAATGTGTTAATAAAAGAAGTTCTTTTTCTTTGCTTTTTGACAGCTATCAAAATTTAATTAATGTATGTAAGTCTGATTTTTTTAATATTTGAACAATTATTTACCACTTGATATTTTCTTTTTTTCTTCTTTTTCAGAATTTGAAATATTTTGATTACTCGATTTTATTTTTCAAAATTCTATATATATATACATATTTTTTGTTTTTAGAACAAAATATTGATGTTTTAATTGTCAAATTTTACATAAAATTATTTTAAACTGGTTTGGTATGTATAATTTTAATTCTGTTTTATTTCATTTTGTTACTTTATTTTATTACTCTGTTTGTATTTTAGCTGAATGATAAGCTAGCACAATAGCTCGAAACGTATTAAAGAAGATTTATATTTACGTCTCTGTCTATATATATATAGACATCAGAATTCATTTTAGAGGTATGGTTTCTTCAGCGAAGTATCTTATTTTGATCTCTAGTATCCGAAAATTATTTGTGCCGAAGCGACTTTAAAGTCGACCCACCTTAATATATATAATGGGTAGTGCTGCTCTAGGGCAGGTTCGTTCGGAGTGCGGACTATCTTGAAGTTAATATTAAGAACTAAAACTTTCAGAGAATTGTTTTTAATCAATTTGGAAGCATTTGAGCTCAAGGGAGCAAGAAAATTCGAAAACATCCATATTAAGGATCACCCTAATATATATATATATAAGGGTGATCACACCTTATATAAGGTGTGATATTGATAATATATATATATATATATATATATTATATATATATATATATATATATATATATATATATATATATATATATATGCAGATTAGTGCACATGCTTTATTTAACAATTACTGACCTTTTTAAAATCATGTGTGTCTCATCTTCACTGTAATTTCAAAACGGTAAAAATTATATACTAATACGTTATTTAATATTTTATTAAAATTATTATTAAATAATGTATTAGTATGCACTTTTTACTGTTTTGAAATGACACTGAAGATTAGGCATGTCATGGTCTCAAAAGTCTATCATTATTAATTAAAGTTTGTGTAAAAATTTGAGTATTGTGTTGTTCATATTTAACACTTAATATTTGTTACACTCATACCACAAAATTTATATATATATATATATATATATATATATATACATTGAAGATAATGTTTTTAACATATTTATTATATCATACTGTTTTTGTAAATAAATTCAACTCCAATTTTAGTTTGAAATCTGTTTTTGATCAATATCTTTATGATTATGGTACGAAATGGAAAGGTTTATCCTACATAACCAAACAAGATGCTCGTGCATTGATGGAATATGACTCATATGATAAGGTTTGCATATTTTTGTAAATCAAAATATTAACTTTTAGTATAGTGTTTTCATATAAAAGATAATCAGTTCAATTTAATTTAAAGGTTTTAGTTGATGTACCTTGCACAACAGATCGTCATTCTGTAAATAATGATGATAACAATATTTTTAAACCAACTAGAATAAAGGAACGGTTGAGAATTCCAGAATTACAATCTCAAATTTTAAGGTAATGACAAATTGGATTTGAATTGAACTACATTTGAGTTGTTACATATTCGAACTTTAGAATAAATATATTATAAATGTGATCTCAAAGTAATCAATGATTTTTATAATAATCACTTTGCAGTAATTGCCTAAGACTAGTTAAACCTGGTGGAACTGTAGTTTACTCAACCTGCTCGCTTAGCCCTGTTCAAAATGATGGTGTTGTTCACTTAGCACTGCGGCAAGCATTTGAAAATCATAACATAGAAGCATGTATTAGGTGATAATATATATGTATTTTTATGAAATTAGTATTACTGAATTTTATATTATATACATATATTTTTAACTCTTAATTAGCACATCATAATTTTTTGAAATATTATATAACAAGTGTAAGGCATAAATCTTTTTATACTACAGGAATATTTCTTCTGCTATGGTACCTTTTGACCACATATTTCAGTTTGGATACAATATGGGATTGCGATACGGACAAATGGTTATACCATTTTTGCCATCAAACTTTGGTCCTCTCTATTTTTCTAAAATCATTAGGTTAAAATGAAGTATTGATATATAGGTAATTATACATATAGTGTAAATATAATAAATTTTATAAAAATATTATTGTATTTTTTATTTTTTTATTCATTCGTATTATATACAGCTTAAAATAGCTATAAACATGTAAAAAGTAATTCAATATAAATAAATATAGAAGCATAATAAACTGGATTTATTCCCATGATATGAATTGTCCTTAATTTATATTGTGAATATACAAATGTTGAAATAGTAAAGTCTTTTTACAATCAGCGTGATATAGTTGAAATGGTTAAGATAAATTTTGATTAAAATTATTTATTATTTATTTGATTTTAATAGTGTTTACTAAATAGCCATTTATGAATTGATGAGAAATAATGGAACTAATAATATTGTAATGCAGAATATTTATGCGCATCTTTGGGGACGTCCATTAATCACGTGAGCGAGTTTTTAAGGATTTTTGGACCCCCCCTCCCCCTTGGTGATGCATGGTGAAATTCAAAATAACCCCCCCTCCCCCACCAAACATCACGTGTATTTTCAGTTACGTGATAAAACTGTATTTTTTTTTATTTTTTTTTGAAAACATTTGATTTTTTTTTAAAAGTCAGTTAAAAATAAATACACGTGATATCTTACTATACCCCTCCCTCCCCCACGTGATATTTCGTGATTTTTTGTCAGACCCCCCCCCCCCTAAAAACCTCACGTGATTAATGGACGCCCCCTTTAATATAATATATAATTTTAAAACAAACATACAAAATAGTACTTTTGATAGCACGTGTTGCAAATAAAATATGATTTAATCATTATGAAAAATTTCTATTAATTTTTATATTATTAACATTTATTATCTAACAGTAAAAATGCTATACTATCTGATTTTCAACTGTCTTTTTCAGCAGTGTTCATAGGTAGTTCTTGAGTATCCACTGATTGTTTCTGTTTTGTTGGCCCATTATTCCAAGGTTGCTCTTCACCGCTGCTCCAAAGCGTAAATACTGTGAATTCAACTAAATACAGAGCAAGCGTCATGAAGAAAATAAAACGCCAGGCTTCGATGGTTTGCTGAAAATAATAATGGTAATAATTATTTTTAATAGAAGATTGCATAAACTAATAATTATGAACTTTAACCCTTTGCCCTCGTTTGTCCACTCTATGCCATCACAGTATATATGCATACATACAGTATACAATAATTATAAAACATAACTCTTATACAAAAACATATTACTAGATGTGTGTATTTGAATTAAGATTTATCTATTACAAATGTTGTTTGCGCATCCAAAACTTGCGTGTTATATATTCTTGGTGCTCTTTTGATAGAAATTACTTCCGAGTAGTACAATACCCATCTCCAAATTGATTTTGAGGACTAAGGTTTAATGTCAATATTTGCTTGATTGTGCCAAATGATGATTATTTGTTTTAAAAATATATTACATTATTATCTTATATATAAATTACAATTTGAAGACCAAAATAGAAAATATAACTATAATCTAAGGAGTTGATGTATCGAAGTGTGACAGTGTTTCACTATCCATTTTTTGGAGCACGGCTTGATAAGCTAAATTTAATCGATATTTTGCGATAAGGCAAGATGCATCTACTTCCCAATACGTGTAAATAGTCGACTTAATTATAAGAAATTAGATTTAGCTATTTTAAGATTTTTAACTGTTTATTTTGCATAAATATTGCTATTACTAAAAACTAATCAAAACATATTTATGATATCAGTAATTATATTATTTAAATTCAGTTTATTAAACATGTTTCAATCTACTTCTTGTTCTAAAAATGTATTTTATTCAGGTGTGGACGTCAACAGTGATCAGCGCATAAAATAACTGGAATATAAGCGGCGTTGATGCTAAATGTGCGGCTCATTATCAAAAACTTTGACGAATTTGAATAATTCAACCACTTATTGTAATCAGTTTTTTTTTTCAAGAATTCATTAGGAAGAAACGGCCCGGCCGATCTTTACAAAAAACTATTGAGCACGATTCCCAACGGGTATCTCTCGATCGATTTTTAAATGTTTAAAGTCGGTTAAGGATTTTTGGATAAAATAAAGACGAAAAATTTAGCATTTTCTACCAATTCTAGAGAAACGGCTTGGATGTCGTCTTGCAAAACTAATCAACGCTAGTCCTTATCTCAGTCTCATCAAATGGCTTTTAAATTTTTGAAATAGGTGCAGCCATGTTTGACAAAACGTCGACGAAAGGTCAAAAATTGGCTCCAATACAAACACACATATTTCTTCCAAATTTTGGATTTCTTATTAATTCCAAACGATTCTGAATTACTTGAAACGTCGAGAAAACACAAGATTAGAAAATCATTTTCTGACAATAACAAACTCCTCCTTCCGGAAGTTAATGATTATTTCGAATATTACTCTATTAACACACTTTCTGCGGGCCGGGTATTGGTACCTGGTTTTAGGATTGTCATTCAACTGCGGGTGCGGGTATTTTCGGGTACTCGGTCGGACACGCTAGATGCGAAGAGCGAACGAAATTTCTTACTATGAGCGGTTGCAACGCTAGTTTTATATTTATTATAAAACTATAATAAAATTATAATTTATTCTTCAAAATTATTTTCGATACGTAAATACGTATATGTTACATAAATATTTTGCTATCTTTGTATTTATTGCGTTTCGATAGTTCATATAATTTAAAATTCAAAAACAATGTTAAAAATAAGCTATTACATTTTTACAAGCAATCGAACGTAGCTTATAAAATCATATTATTATTTATGTAATTAACTATTAGGTTTGTCACTAATTTATACACCATAAAAATTAATTTCGTACAATATTAAAAATAATCGAATTTTCAACGTAAAACTATAGATTGTATATAGTATGATTATAAGTGATATAGGTACTTTATACATGATTGGAGAATGGAATTACTTTGTCTAATTTACGTACCTGGCAACAGGTAATTTTATCAAATACAGTATCCGGCGAGTAATAAAACTAATTCATTAATTTACTGTTGAATGACGAATTTTCGCAATGTTTTTCAATTGTGCTTGGATTACAGGTAATTTGAAAATGTATGATATCATATTTCTCGTATTTTATTATCCAATTTCTTTTATTTGAAAGAATTCAACGGAATTAAATGTATTTAATATCCTGTTACTTCCTATTACCTAAATAAATCTTCAAATTTATATTTAAAATCTAATCTAATTAAAAATATTTATCATATTTAAAACAAGCATTTAAGCAAAAATAGTAAAATATGGTATTCTGATTAGAATGGCTTGCGAAGCAAAGTCAGGCTACATATGCAATTTAAAAATTTACTATGGAAATGGCAATAGTTTACAGACAACTATATTAGATATATTAGAACCTTATTTAAATTTGTGGCATCATGTATACATGGACAATTTTTATAATAGTTTAAATAAAAGTTTATTATTACTACAAAATAAAACTAGGATTTGTGGGACTATAAGAACAAACAGGGGCCTTCCTGAAGAACTTAATAATTTGAAACTTAAAAGAGGAGAGACAATATTTAGAAGACGCCAAGAAGTTTTGTTACAATTCTTCAAAAAGAATAGTCCAAATGATTTCTTCAATTCTAAACTTATTGCGTAAAAATGTGTAGTGTATACTCGTGTAAAAAACCTACCTATAACAAACTTTTCTGTGTATTTTGATTAATTGATTTTTATGATTAAATTTATTTTTGTATTTCAGAGACTAAACTTGTGAGTAATTACGTAAGAAAACGTATAGAAAATGTTTCTGTGCATTTTGTTTTAAATTTTTAGAATTAATTACATTTTTCATTTCATTGTCTAAACACTAAACATATGTATCATTGCGTAATAATATTCAACTTTATTTGCAAATGTTTTACCTTCAGTATTGATAGTTTTACCTCATAATAACTTAATATTATAGTATTTACTACTGCGTATGAATTTAGGCAGTAAGTATTGTAAGTAAAAGACTGTGCTTTCATGCCATGCTTACGCATTCGCACCGTTGTGAAAACCCCGCTACGGGTACAAGTTAGCCCGAAATCCTATCCGCCGAAAGTGTGTTAACTAAACTATGTTCAATACTCACATTTCCATCCGTCATATAACCTACAAATACTGGAACTGCTATTCCTGATATCGTACCAGGAATGTTAGTGAATGCGATGAGGGAACCTGTAAATTTATATTTTAAATAATATAAATAGTCATAATTTTGTTTTGTATAGAAGCATTATATGATTTTAACTCAAGAGGATCGATTTTAGGACTGTTTTGACGGACAGGAAGATTATTAGATCAATTACGACGATAGTTCATAACTAGCTGTAAGTGGAATTCTGTCTTAAGGCAATTAGGGCATCGTGCCTTAAGGCAAATTGCTGGAACTTCCCGTACCAAAAATTATTATTTTTTTAAAAACGGTTAACATTTTTGAAAAAAATTTAATTAAAAAAATAGATTTGAGAAACTACAAATTTGACAAAAAATTACTTTTTTTTGAAAAAAAAAATTATATGAAAAAAAAAATTTTTTTTTTTGAAAAAAAATTTTTTTTTTGGATACAAAAATTTTTTTTGAAAAAAATGTTTTCTTCATTTTGACATATTTTGGAAATTCTGAACTTTTTTTCAAAGCAATCGCACTGCTTGAACTGCATAGAGACGAAATGTCAAAGCGCGCATGTGCCGCGCCGCCGTCTAACGCATAAGCATTGGTACAGAACCCATAAAAATGTAAAAAAAAAAATACTTATTGTTAAAATCTCTATAAAATATCTGATAATTTGATGTGCATATGTCTAATGATAATTTTTAACCGCCGAATGGCATTATTTTTTACTTTTTTCATTAGATCTCCGAAACCGCTAGACCTGCCTCCATGAAAATTTGATCAATTCTACATCTTGTCAATACAAGTAAAATGTTTTTTGAATTATTCAAATCGGACGCTCCGTTCTCTTAAAAACGGAGGTATCGTTTTTGGCACTTTTTGCCCCGTATCTTCGGAACGGCTAGACCTGCCTTTGCCAAAAACTAATCAGCACGTCTCCTTATCAATACGAATCGAATGTTTTTTGAATTATTCAAATCGGTTGATCCGTGTTCCCGAAATCGTCGACGAAAATTTGTATCCGCACATACATACACACACATACATACATACATACATACATACATACATACATACATACATACATACACACACACACACACACACACACACACATACATCCATTTTTTCTAAGGTATGCCAAAATGTTCAGAAGGTTTTGAAACGTCGAGAAATGCAAAAATTTTCATTTTCGATTTTTTTGCGATTACTATAACTTACCCTACGGGAAGTTAATAAGTAATTCAGTAGCATATCGCTTTGTCGGGTCAGTGTGGGGAATTGATGTGAATAAATTCGAATTCAGTTATTTAATTTGTAACATAACATTCACTTACCAGCATATCTTGGTGCGATATCAATATGATTTATCATGACGCCGCTATACATCGCACCGTGGCATGCTACTGCTAAACAGAGCAGCGCCGCGCCAAGATAGCGCCAGCAGCCAACGAATGACAGAATCGCGAGACATGTACCAGGACCCAATGATGCTTGAAATAATTGATTTATTTTATACAAATCGATCGTTATTATTTTTACGAATTAAATTCAAATCAATACGTATTACCTTACGCTATTTTAAAATACTTAAGTTTATTTCGCGTTGTATAATTTTATTGCATTGTCTGATTAATTTATTTCGAGATCAGATTTTGTACTTCAAATATTTTAATTAAACGGTCAGTTTTATTTTCTTTGTTACCAAATTGCAATTCAATGTGTAATCGCAGTTCTTCAATAAGGAACTTCCGATTTGCATAAGGTTAAAAATTCTGTTATATCAGTCTCCTTCAATTTTAATAAAAAAAGATGTGAAAGACTTGAACTCAAAACAACACAACTTCGAAAATTTCATAACACATACATAACATGGAAAGTTTTTTTTATATTTTTTTTTACATACAGAAGTCATATGTAGCACATACGTCAAATATAAATATGTATACGATATTATATGGTATCATGCTAGTAAAAATAGCTTTCTGTACCACCGTAATTTTGAAGATGTTTGATGTGATAAAATATTCTATTTGATGAAATAAACTGAATAAACCTGAAAAGTTCTCATTATATATTTTTATTGTTTCCCTCTCTTACTAAAATATTTTAGTTATTGTATTACTTTTTTATCATATATAAAAATCTCGTGTCATGATGTTCGTCACAATACTCCGGAATGGCTTGACTGAGAATCTACATCTATTTTTCATGTCCCTTAGTGGTAAGGGTTGTCCGCTTCTAAGATTTTTCTTAGTTTTTGTAGCATTTTTTATTTTAGTTTTTTATAATTTACAAAGAATACAAACAACCCTAAATTTTCACTCTCCTACCACAAACCCCTATTTCCTAAGTCATTTTAGTAATGTAAAGATTCAGTTGGTCTCTTTTACCCCTTTTTACATGTAAGCTTTTATTGCGAGTTAAATGCAGAAGACATTATTAAGTCAGAGATTTTGCCGTTTTTTTTAAATATTTTTGACTTTAGATTAGTGTACAGCCGTAAAATTTACATTGGAAAACATATGTCGCACACACTATACAAACAACTGTTTTTTGGTGGACCTGTGTAATTATTTTTGACGAAATACCAGATCAAGGTTATACACAGTATTATTTCTGTGAAAAACGTACCCAGGTAATTTATATTTTGCATTGGTTGAATAATGTAGCTATTACTTTGTACAATCTCTTTAAAATTGAAATAAGTCATTAGATCTGTTTGCCTCATGGCTATCCCATTTTACACCGCCTTTGGGGTAAAAAGTACCAGGTGACAATTTTTGAAAAAAAAACAGCAAAAAAACGCATAACTAAAAAGATGAATCAGCTGGGAGTTTTACTGAACATAGTCAGATATTTGTTATTTGTTGTGACATTTGTTTCTTTTTTTAATTCTAATTACAATCTGTACACATGGGACATTCAGTAATTGTTTTGACTTTATTATATATGGATTAGTTCCCCGCACTACGCTAAATCTATATTACCTATTCCTGTGGCAATTTTTCGTGCTTGACCGACTGTTAGTTTTCCATTTTTTATGCAATAGTCCATAATATTTCCTGTAATAATTGTCGTCGTGGCCATTGCGAAGAACGGTATAGCAGTTAAAAGTCCATTCTAAAAAAGGTAGTTAAAAGTTACGCATATACGTCAAACGATTCAAAATAAATTTACATTACCTCTTGGATACCAAATAAGAGTATTTGTCTTAAATACACTGGTATCTCTATTAGTAATAGGTAGAACCCCCAATTTGAGCAAGTGTTTCCAATCAGAACTGCCCAAAACGGCTTAGATGTCGCTATGTCTCTCCATGGCATTTTAGGTTTCTATTAACAGAAAAGGTTTATTATTATTGTGCCAGTATATAAGAAGTTGAATGCTTCAATAAAGTTTATTTCATCTTAGCATTTTAATATTTTTAAACCATCTTTAAGCTTGATTTGCCAAATTACTAATAAAGCGGAGGGGGAAACTTGTTCCGAGTCAATGAATTGGTTCTTAGCAGTAAAATAGATTATCAATAAATAAATAGGTGATCTACAGTTACACTTTAGTAGTCTGAATAATTTTAATAATTGTTAAATAAACTGTTTATATAATTATTGATAACTCTTGAATTTTTGGTTAAATTATTAATACATGCCTCTGTGGATGGAACTTGTATGGTTTGTCCTAACATTTCTCGTTCTTCTTCAGCTATAAATTTATGATGAACTGGGTAATCTGTTACGTAAAACAACCATATAAAAACCCAGGGCAAAGCTAGACATCCGCTTATGTAAAATACATAAGCCCAACCTGAAATTGGTAATAGTTATCATAGAATGTCAATAGTTTGACTAGAATTCATTGTAATGAATAATACAAATACATTTTCAATAATAATTGCATTTATGTACGTGTTTTATCTGATTAAATTGATACAGCATTACAATATTGTCATTTTAAATATTAAAATAAGTTTTATAGATTTATCTATAATATTTCGTAAGCAAATCTTCGTTTTATTTTTCAAAGTAAAGAATATGAATATTTTTTTCTTAAAATAAAATTGCAAGTAAAATCTGTTTATTTAAAATTAAAAGCAGAAAAAATTCCTATGTGCAACTATATCTGGTGTTGCATGAACGATCGTTTTTCTATCTCGTACATGAGATAAGTTTTTGAAAATGTAGTTAAATTTAATTTTATGATAATTAAAGAGTTTCAAATCTATTTGTTTTTGAATCTTACCCAATTTACTGGATATATAGCCCGACATATATTGGGAGGCAACAGTTCCTAAACATGTACCGGCGTAGATGAATGACGATAATTTGGAACGCTCTTCTTTGGGGGACCAATGTGATAAAAGGCAGTGCGTGCAGGGAAACGTAACGCCCTGATTAATAATAAGAACATTATATGTTCAATATTTATATTAAACTTTGACTTGAAACTATTTTAACTTACTCCTCCGATTCCTTTGAAGAATTGGCATACTATAACGCCACCAAAGCCAAGATAAAAAGCTGCGATCGGCGTCATAAGCGTCATTACCATATTTGTGATAACTGCGAAGAACATTACCCATTTTGCAGACCACAATTCTGAAATTCTGCCGCCTATAACAATATGTCATTTTATAACTTTTTCTAAAATTTGCATTTTATTATATAGTATTTCTTTAAGTTCTTCAACTGAAAATGATTTCAAATGTTGATTCTTCTTCTGACATAGATTTAATTATTCGGTAATTTATTATTCAACAATTTTTAAAAACAAGTGACCTGCAGTATTACAATACATCACCTTTTACAGTGATTGTCAATTGCGTGTGGTTTAATTTTTAGTTTAATTTAAATCTCACTAGGAAAATATTGTGAGTTGAAACGCAATTTCTGCTCCTTCTTAACTTGAGATTTATAATAGTTCTATAAAAAATATGACCATAAAAACTGATTTTTTAAGCGATAGTTATTTCGATCTTATGTTAATTATACTCTTTATATTTTTTGTTCCCTAAATCAATTATTATTAACTTACTAATTTTCAAGTACATAAAATATACGTTGATATTTTTACATTCCTTTACGAAAATATTCTAAGCTGGTGGAAGATCTACATTATTCTTTTATAACAATCATATCAATAATCTATATTTAGTTTGAAATATATTTAATGTACAGTTTTGTTTTAGCATTAATTAAATGTTGGATTCCAAGGAATATCAAAGAAATAAATAGAAATCAAGGAGTGATAATAAAATCTGTATAAATCTATGAAATGTTTTATGTTTTTACAAAATAAATAAAATGTAAACGTAATAAATAATATGCTTTACCTGGAAACATAGACAACGCATAACCCCAGTAGTAACTGCTCAAGATCAAACCTTGCTGCTGGCTAGTGAAATCGAATGGTCCATCCTCGTTTTTAAGTTCCTGCTCTCGATTAAATCCACATTGTTCACTTGTCATACCACTGATTTCTGCTGTTATGTTTCCTTTTATAATTTTGGTATTTTCTATAGCCGTGTGGTTAACCATGGCCACCAGTGCCACCGAAATGTTTACGCGTAACCCATAGATGATAGCGAGGGCCATCAGGCCCAACCCCGCGATCATCATACGCGTTTTGAAATCTAAGAGAATAACATTTTAAATAATCATAATAATAATAATAATAGTAATGAAGATGCAATACTAATATAGTTACATGATTACTTTTTTGTGATAGAAATAAAATATTAATATAAATTTCAGAATCTAAATTGATGGTTAAGGTTTCGGCAATGAATATTTAAATTGTTTCTAAAAAGCATTAGGAAGCAAAGATTTATATTCAATTTTTATAATTTGCAAACTTATAGATTTGTGGGAAAGTAATAGGCGACGACATTAGGTCAGATTCAGATGGCTAGTGTGCTGAGCTTACAAAAGAAGATTGAATGTTTTTATCAAACGTTTTTTTTATGTCATTACCTTTTTAAAATATTAATATATTAGTAATAAAGCATTGCTAAAGTGGTGAACACGACTTGGAGAGCATAAGAAGAAGAAAACATGGAAATAACTCAAACCGGACGTAATTTTAAATCGACCAGCAGAGAAGGCAAAGTATGCTGAGATTCTACGTCGACTAAAGCAGATCATCCCTGACGAGCAGGTCCGGACGACTGTAGATAAGATTAAGAAGACTGGAGACATGTTGATTGCAATCTCAAGAAAGTGCGCAGATAAAGGCCGAGGTCTGCAACAGTCAATCACGAGCATCTTCAACCCTTTTGGTACGCGCGGTACACATGTGTACCCCAAAGTTTGAAAATTTTTGGACAGTCGAATTTATGTATGAAAGCAATGCAAATTATACCACGATTTAATGTAAGTGTTTAGCTGTGATAATACGTGACACATAATAGGTGAAATACATATGACACGTAAAACAGCATTCAGTTTAGAACCAATCGCGTTTTGTTTTTTATCCGCCCGTAGTAAACTTTTCTAAACTCTTCTAAATGTGAACTCGGTAATTCCTAAATTGTTGATGAATGATAAGAATTGATTGAAGAAATATTAGCTCTGTCTGAACTATTTGCTCCAAGAATTAAAAATACAAGGGGGGAATATAAGTAGAAAATTGCTTTTACCAATTGAAGCTAAAACATGAGGAAGGTGAACAAGATGCAGTGAAAAAAATTCAAACATGAATTTCAACACTGTATCAACAATGCAATGTACTTTTATGTCAAAAATGTTTTTATTATGAATTAAAAAGCTTCATCATAAATTTTATTTATGTTCTAAGTTGAACAATATTTTTTTTGTTGCTTCTATAGGACGGTTGGTACAGATGTGTACCAACAAAAACCACGGATGGTACAACGGTTTACCAGCACCTCCAGCTGCTCCCTGATTATTTAATTTTTAAACTTTTCTTAACTCTTCCAAATGTGAATTCGGTAATTCCTAAATTGTTGATGAATGATAAGAATTGATTGAAGAAATATTAGCTCTGTCTGAACTATTTGCTCCAAGAATTAAAAATACAAGGGGGGAATATAAGTAGAAAATTGCTTTTACCAATTGAAGCTAAAACATGAGGAAGGTGAACAAGATGCAGTGAAAAAAATTCAAACATGAATTTCAACACTGTATCAACAATGCAATGTACTTTTATGTCAAAAATGTTTTTATTATGAATTAAAAAGCTTCATCATAAATTTTATTTATGTTCTAAGTTGAACAATATTTTTTTTGTTGCTTCTATAGGACGGTTGGTACAGATGTGTACCAACAAAAACCACGGATGGTACAACGGTTTACCAGCACCTCCAGCTGCTCCCTGATTATTTAATTTTTTTAATGATTTTCATTTCAACATATATCACACATTAAAAATTTTACACAAACCGGTTTTTCAAACAATTATTTGAATACCGCCCCGAAAGGGTTAAGGATGACGCCAAAGTGATGCAAAAGAGATAATCGAAATCAGGGACATTGATGACGATACATCTAATTCAGACTGCTCTGAAAAAAGCAGCTGGACAAGACTGTGAAACACCAGCGGAGGCAATGCAGATCCGTAAAGCCTACAGAGTTATTCATGCTGCTACAGTAACGTTACCGGTAGCCACGGCGCAGAAATTGCTTGATCGGATCGGTAGAAGTCGAATTGGCTGGGTGAACTGTCGTATAAGAACATCTATAGGCCAGTCCAGTGCTACAAATGTTTTTTGGGCATCACGAATTCCAGTGTACAAGTAAGGCGAACCGTTCAAACCTTTGCATTAAGTGCGGACAAGAAGGGAACAAAATCGCTAGCTGTCCAATCTACAGATGTTCGGAAGCACTTAAGAAGTTATCATATAAACAAGCATGAAGATACTGTAGCTAAATTTAAATCATTGTAAAGCTGCACATGGCTTTATATAGACAGTACGAGAACTGAAGCTTGACCATGTGATATTATACAGTCATACAGCATCTTCACCTGGCCAAATATGGAAAGTGGGCACAACCACCAAAGCTGTTATTTGGTCCTGTGGCAAACTCTACTTCCAGAATACAGTTACCAAACGCAGCGTTGGCTTTGTATCAGCAGCAATAGATGTGGATGCTACGCACCACCTAGCCTAATTGTGGAATTTGCTAACTTTCTGGCACGACTGATCGAGAACGCGAAATGATATTATTCAGTGGCGATAGCCGGAGACTTTAACTCCTGGGCTTTAGACTGGGACAGCAAGCACACAGACGCACGAGGAAAAGCACTACTGGAAGCTTTTAGTACGCTAGACGTTGTATTGCTCAATAGTGGTGGCAAGCCGACCTACACCTAAGGCGACGCAAGCTCGATTTTAGACCTCACATTTGTCAGCAGTAGTCTCTTCAGAGGTAACAGCAACTGGTGGGTGATGGATATCTACACTGCCAGCGACCATCATGCATTTGGGAATTGTCATTCGAATTGAACATCAAAAGACCTATCTAGCAAGTTAACTGCGCTAGCTGGAAGGCAAAATATTTTGATCGAGATGCATTGCTAATAGCTCTTGAAAGCAACTCGATCAACACTGGATTCGCGGAAGAAAGAACCAAGGACCTGATGAAAAGAGTGACACTGGTCTGTGATTTCAGTATGCCTCGTTAAGGTGGCATAAATTCAAGATCCTCGTTGTACTGGTGGAACGATTACATCAGAGTACAAACAATCTCGTCGTGAATTGATTAAGGCCATCAAAGAGAACAAAGATGGTGGAAAGAGCTCATATGTGAGGTGGATAAAGAAGTTTGGGGTAAGCATTATAAGGTGTTTATGACTCTGCTGAAAAAGCAACAGGTGCAGACACTTACATGCCCTCAATTTCTTTTGAAAGTAACTGCGCTGTTTCCACAGCAACGCCAACGAAGGAGTATTGCCTGGTTGCCAATTTTCCGGTTACGGTCCTGAAATACGACACGAAGAACGGCTCAAAAAATATATCTCCGTAGGTGTGCCTTAAAGCTCAGTTCTTGGGCCAGTACTGTGGAATATTATGTACGATGGGCTTTTGAGACTAAAAATTTCAAGACGCGCCAAAGTAGTGACATACGCGGATGACGTAGCCGTAGTGATTGTCGCGAAACATCTAGACGAAATATGCCATATGTTCTACATCACCTTCGAGAAAGTAAATTGGTGGATGTATACTGTCAATTTTCAACTAGCTAAACATAAGACAGAAACAATACACATCACCAGCAGAATGCCATATCGGGCCTTCCTGTATTTGACCGCTCTCTGTACTTGAACACATTCCCTCTAATAAATGAATGTTTTCAATATTAAATTAAGCAAAAAGGTCTAGAAATTAAATAATTTAATTTTATTTGCTGACACTAGAACATTTCAACTATGAGTAAATATGTGTTCAAGTACAGAGAGTGGTCAAATACAGGGAGACCCGATATGGCGGTCCAAGCAGTAAAGAATTAGAGGCGCTCGTACGCTAAAACTATTGATTTTGCAAAAAATGGTTATTGCATGAAATATAGGAACTCTCTTAACTCTCTAGGTTAATTCGCATTCGTGCTTTTATGGTAAAATAAGCCAAGATGGAAATATTGTTATAAAACTGTTTTTAGGCCTCGTTTTCTAATATGGTGGGGCCAGCGGTAAAAATTCGAGGTGGCAAAGTTTAAAAATTCGTAAAGAGCACAACGAAATCTACAAGACTATCAATTTTCAAAACACTCTGAGTACTTTCCGGGCAAAACTACCAAATGACTGGAGTAATAATAAAAAATTAAATTAACACATGGACGTCAGGAATCTATGTTAATTAGATCAAGCGGCGATTTTCTTTTCGATCTACAACGGTAGTTTTCCGTTAGCAAGGATCTGGCTAATAGATTTGTATGGCTATTAAGTTTGTTTCCATGTTTATGTGCTGTTATTGTCATAACGTTCTTTACAGTACGTGTGTTCACATCCAGGTGAATTAGCCAATTAGGAACATATTTTGGTGCTCCTATGGCGATTTTGAGTAATTTGTTTCGAAATTTTTATATTATATTTATATTAGTTTTATATGCACTACTCCATAATTGAGTACCATATTACCAAATTCGTTTAAGTAATGATTTGTATAAAAGCAGCTTATTGTATGGCCTAAAGGGGCGTCCATTAATCACGTGAGGTTTTTAGGGGGAGGGGGGTTTTGACAAAAAATCACGAAATATCACGTGAGGGATGTAGGGGTATAGTAAGATTTCGCGTGAATTTATTTTTTAACTGATTTTTTTAAAAAAATTCAAACATTTTCAAAAAAAAATTACAGTTTTATCACGTAACTAGAAATACACGTGATGTTTGGTGGGGGAGGGGAGTAATTTTGAATATCACCATGTATCACCAAGGGGGAGGGAAGGGGTCCAAAAATTCTTAAAAACTCTCTCACGTGGTTAATGGACGCCCCCTAAAGGATTTAGTCTCTAATAACAAGTAGAGTTTTTTTGTTTTCAGTTCTAGCTGCTGCCTCTTTTTCTTAATATGATTTTTTCTATCCTATCGATCTATATGCCAAGATATTGCATATGATCTTCTTGAGGTACTTGAGTGTTGCCTACTAGAACTACGTTAGTTGATTGTTGATATTTTTCACGGTTACGATACAAGTGAGTTTGAAAAAACATCCAATTAAAAGTAAAAAATGCCATTTGGCGGACAAAAAGGATCATTAGACATATGCACATCAAATTATCAGATATGTTATAGATCTTTAATAATAAGAACAAATTTTGTCTACATTTTTATATGTTCTGTTTATCCCTTAGACTGCGACGCAACGTTCACGCGCTTCGATATTTCGTTTCTACGCAGCTAGCGTATCGTGATTGCCTTGAAAAAAAGTTCAAAACTTCCACAATATTTTAAAATGTAACAAAAATTCTAATTTTTCAAAAGGGTCAATTTTTCAAAAATTTTAAAATTCTCAAAAAACTATTTTTTTCGAAGTTCTAAAATAATGAATTTAAAAATGTTCTTGCATCGTCGTTTTTTTTAATGTTTATTGTTTCAGTCTTCTAGAGTGTTTGTTTTGATTCTCCATAAGTATATTTAGTTTATTCGTATAAAAATTGACCCAGGGGTGACCTTACCAAAAATGATATGCTCGTTTCACTGAGACAATACATTTGTTTTATTGAGCTTTGACTTTAGAAAAAGGTTTATTTGAGCTATTAAGGTAAATTTGTATTTAATTATATTTTTGATAACACTGTACTTTTGTTTACACAGAAGTTTTCGTTGAGCAGGAAATATAGAATGATAATCGAATATTTTCTTATCTGTGCATGTTACGCCTATAACGAGAACAACGTAAACACGAGCAAACGAAGTCCATTTTTACGCATTTCAAAAACAACTTTTTTAAGCAATTAAATGAGGTTTGAAAAATGTTAAAATTTAATTTATGGCATAAGATTTATGGGTACAGAATAGCTAAACACATATTTTTGTGAATTAAGACTGTTTAAAATGATGATCTTTAATGATTTGCACGATGTCAAGTTGAACTTGATGAACCAAAAAAATATTAAATTGAAGTAGTTTAGGCTTGACGAAAAAGGCAAATATAATGGAATAGCACGTTATATTGATATATCATTGATTTGGTTTTCATGACTGCAAATGCAACTTTTTGTTTTGTTTTTATTTTGTTACACTCATTTACATCACATTTTTATTCTATTTACATAATTATAAACAGCATTTAAAAATTAAATTCACACAAATAAATTACATAAATATCATTAGATCTTTATAGAAATGATTTATATGTAATGTATTGAATATATTTTAAAACTCAGTGGAAAATTGGCACAAAAGTTTTTTAAAACCTGATGATTCTTTATTGTAGTCTTCGGAAAAAAACCAGAATGATAAAACAAATATCTATACAAGATATCAATATGAAAAACAATTCAATTCCAAGTAGATTCAATAGGCTTCAGTCGCAAAAATCATTTCAATTAGAGAAAAAAAATTAAATGCTAAATTCAAAAGATTCGAAGAACTATTTAAAATTAACTAAAATAGCCTGCAAAACAGCTTGCACGTTAGCAATTTTTAAATGTGTTTTATTTAATATTATATTGCATTAATTTTATCATACACAATTAAAAATTACTAATTAAATTTATGTATGAAACAACAATATTGTACTAGCATTGGTGTTGAATTTTGAAACTTTTTACAATTTATTTTAAAATTATAGCTACATCATAGCCGATATCATTGAATTTTCAGGTTTTCAATATTTAATTAGTAACCATGATGTCAATAAAACAAAATATTATTTAAATTCATTTGCAAATTATTTTCAAATATGTTTATTAGGATTTCTTTTTCTTTTTCTGCTTTTATCAAACGATTTATAAATTTATATACAATGGAGTTTTTCTGAAGATGAGAATGCTGTCTTAAAACGGTAGTTAAATTCATTTTTTCACTGAATATAGTAACAGAATAATGGAATAACATGATAAATTTCTAAATATTAAATTTTATTTAATATTTTTCAATTTAATAAATATATTGTTTCAAATAAGTTTTTATAAATTTTATTTATACGTCCAATAGCATGTTGTGATATTACACTATACATATTTTTACGTGAAATTTCACAAACTTTATGAATAATGATTTAAATTTTTTAAAATCACTAAACACATGTTGGAACTTACGATCATTCATTTTATCACAATTTTTAACACTAAATAGTAATTAAATTAAATCACATGTAGAATAGTTATTGCACTATTTTTAAATTTTTAACTAAATGTAAGTTCATTAATTCGTTAATTTACGATATCGTAAAGTTGAAGAAACGCATCGGAATTTTTAGTACTGCGCCTGCTAAAGTTCGAACCGTTCGAGGCGGCCGCATGGCTCGAAGTGCCTTCGACTCCTGCGCGATACGATTTTCATATTACATACATACTTCGTAGTTTTGTTAGTGATCTGTTTTATTTATTTTTTTATCATTAACTAAATGCTGCAACAGACGACGCACTGACAAAATTCGAGATCAACGACTACTGAGTGGTTTCCAACCTTTTCGTACCGCCCTCTCCCACTTTTTTTTTAAAGATAAAGCTGCATCCCCCTTAATTCTTCTAACAATCTAATTGTAGAAATACTCAACTGATATTGTCTCAGGGAAATTGCTGAAACTTCTCGTATTATAATCAAAAAATGTTAAATGCATTACATTTTTTTTGAAAACTTTGAGTAAATTAGATTTTTTGGAGAATTTTTTAATTCTTGGAAGAGTTTTATATTTTTAGAAAATGTTGCATTTTTTCGTAGAGCAAGTTATAGTAATCGCAAAAAAATCGAAAAAATGGAAAATGAAATTTTTTTATATATCTTTACGTTTCAAAACCTTCTGAACATTTTGGCATACCTTAGAAAAAATGGACGTATGTGTGTGTGTATGTATGTGTGCGTGTATGTATGTGTGTGCGGATACAAATTTTGTCGACGATTTCGGGAACACGGATGAAGCGATTTGAAAAAAATACGAATCGTATTGATAAGGAGACGTGCTGATTAGTTTTTGGCGGTCTAGTCATTTCAAATATACAGGGCAAAAAGTGCCAAAAATGGTAACTCGGTTTTTAAAAGAACGGAACGTCCGATTTTAATAATTCAAAAAAACATTTTACTTGTGTTGACAAGAATTGATCAAATTTTCATGAAGGCAGGTCTAGCGGTTTCGGAGATCTAGTGAAAAAAGTAAAAAAAATGCCATTTGGCGGTCAAAAATGATCATTAGACATATGCACATCAAATTATCAGATATTTTACAGAGATTTTAATAATAAGTATAAATCTTGTTTACATTACTATGGGTTCCGTACCGATGTTTATGCGTCAGATGGCGACGCAGCGCTTACGCGCTTTGACATTTTGTTTCTATGCAGTTAAAGCAGTAAGATTGCTTTGGAAGAAAGTTCAAAATTTCCAAAATATGTCAAAATAAAGAAAACAATTTTTTTTTCAAAAAAATTTTTTTTTCAAAAAAAGTAATTTTTTGTCAGATTTATAGTTTCTAAAAAATCTAATTTGTTCGAAGTAAATTTTTTTCAACAATGTTATTCTTTTTAAAAAAAATAATAATTTTTGATACGGGAAGTTCCAGCAATTTGCCTTAAGGCTTGAAACCCATTCAAGCCGGTTGATTTATTTATACTGTCGATAAAATCGAGAACAATTGTTTGAAATATATA